TACGTAACTGCTAAAAGAAAAAATTATCACTGACTTGAGTAAATCAAATTTTTTGGTGGGTTGGGGGGCGCAGCAGATTTTGAAAACTTATTCAACAGATTATGTAACACTGCTCTAATGATATAAAGCAGTGTTGGCCAAAAAAAAAAAAAAAACTTATTTTTCCAAACTCACTAAATACTGGGACTGTAGGTGCTATGCTACGTAAAAAGTAAGATATTTATTAACAAAGTCAATAAACAGAGTACATCAAAACTCTATTAACAGATACAGGTTATATAAAAGATCAACACAACATCCAATACTCCCACAAAATTCAAACAAACAGATCTTAAAAACTGTCACAACAGACCAATACACTGAGAAAACAGACCAACAAAACTTACAACAGATTAGCACATCTGAGAAAACCTACTAACATATTTAACACAACAGATCAACCAAGTTGAGACAACAGACTAAAAAAAAATGACATCAACATATCTGACACACACTGACCAATACAATCGACACAACAGACCAACACAATTGAAAAAAAAAAGACCAACAAAATGGAAAGAACAGACCAACAAAATCAATACAAAAGGTCAACAAAACTGAAACAACCAAACACTAAAACCGAAACAACAGACCAACAAAACTGATACAATAGACCAACAAAACTGACACAATAGACCAACAAAACTGATACAATAGACCAACAAAACTGATACAATAGACCAACAAAACTGACACAATAGACCAACAAAACTGATACAATAGACCAACAAAACTGATACAATAGACCAACAAAACTGAAACAACCAAACACTAAAACCAAAACAACAGACCAACAAAACTGACACAATAGACCAACAAAACTGACACAATAGACCAACAAAACTGACACAATAGACCATCAAAACTGACACAATAGACCAACAAAACTGACACAATAGACCAACAAAACTGATACAATAGACCAACAAAACTGAAACAACCAAACACTAAAACCAAAACAATAGACCAACAAAACTGACACAATAGACCAACAAAACTGACACAATAGACCAACAAAACTGACACAATAGACCAACAAAACTGACACAATAGACCAACAAAACTGACACAATAGACCAACAAAACTGATACAATAGACCAACAAAACTGAAACAACCAAACACTAAAACCAAAACAACAGACGAACAAAACTGACACAATAGACCAACAAAACTGACACAATAGACCAACAAAACTGATACAATAGACCAACAAAACTGACACAATAGACCAACAAAACTGATACAATAGACCAACAAAACTGAAACAACCAAACACTAAAACCAAAACAACAGACCAACAAAACTGACACAACAGACCAACAAAACTGACACAATAGACCAACAAAACTGATACTATAGACCAACAAAACTGACACAATAGACCAACAAAACTGACACAATAGACCAACAAAACTGATACAATAGACCAACAAAACTGAAACAACCAAACACTAAAACCAAAACAACAGACGAACAAAATTGACACAATAGACCAACAAAACTGATACAATAGACCAACAAAACTGATACAATAGACCAACAAAACTGACACAATAGACCAACAAAACTGATACAATAGACCAACAAAACTGAAACAACCAAACACTAAAACCAAAACAACAGACCAACAAAACTGACACAACAGACCAACAAAACTGACACAATAGACCAACAAAACTGATACTATAGACCAACAAAACTGACACAATAGACCAACAAAACTGACACAATAGACCAACAAAACTGACACAATAGACCAACAAAACTGATACAAAAGACCAACAAAACTGACACAACGCAAGTAAGTAAAGTGACAGAAAGGGTCAAAAAGCTGGCAGAACAGACAAACAAAACATACACAACAGATCAGCAAAACTAACACAGCCAAAGACAACTTACACTAGACAACACACGCTGTAACACAGATCCTGAACTGCACAGTCATCGGTAGACAGTCCAGGATAACTGCAAGCTGATGAAGCTGCTGGCCAAGTAGAGTATAGCCACAGATGTGACCTTGATGTTTAGCTCTGATAACCCAGCACTTACTAGAACAACAATCTAGTGCAGGTTTCCTCCAGATTATATGAATTGGGGTCAGATTACAAATAAGCTGAAGGTGAATCATCGCAGCTGGGCTGGTGTCTGTAACTCAACGGATCCTTAAGTGCAGTATTTTTTGATTTGTTTTGTTTTGGTATAGCAGGAGAGATCAGTTGCTCCCCCCCCCCCCCCTTTCCCCATGTCACTGTGACGTCTGAGCAAAACATCACCTTGGTAATAATAATGTGACCTGCCAGCTTGTCTGCTACATTCGTACGTCTACTGAGCTTCGTGCTGACTAAAGAGGAATCGTGTAGGATTAGAAGTTCTATCACAAACAAGAAGCGGAAGTTGAAGAGGACGAAACAGAGGAGTGTAGAAAGGGCGAGGAAAGAAGAAGATGAGGAATGGAGGAGAGGACCCTTTTCCCCGCCTTCAGGCGTATTGGGAATTTGGGCCAAACGTAAACAACATACATCGGTCAGTGGGTGATGTGGTCAACAACAGGACAGCCGCCATGTAAGGCTGGGTCTACCTGGCAGCCAGGGTATACCTGGGAGGCTGGGTCTACCTGGCAGCCAGGGTATACCTGGGAAGCTGGGTCTACCTGGCAGCCAGGGTAAACCTGGGAGGCTGGGTCTACCTGGCAGCCAGGGTATACCTGGGAGGCTGGGTCTACCTGGCAGCCAGGGTATACCTGGGAGGCTGGGTCTACCTGGCAGCCAGGGTATACCTGGGAGGCTGGGTCTACCTGGCAGCCAGGGTAAACCTGGGAGGCTGGGTCTACCTGGCAGCCAGGGTATACCTGGGAGGCTGGGTCTACCTGGCAGCCAGGGTATACCTGGGAGGCTGGGTCTACCTGGCAGCCAGGGTAAACCTGGGAGGCTGGGTCTACCTGGCAGCCAGGGTATACCTGGGAGGCTGGGTCTACCTGGCAGCCAGGGTATACCTGGGAGGCTGGGTCTACCTGGCAGCCAGGGTATACCTGGGAGGCTGGGTCTACCTGGCAGCCAGGGTATACCTTGGAGGCTGGGTCTACCTGGCAGCCAGGGTATACCTGGGAGGCTGGGTCTACCTGGGAGTCTAGGTCTACCTGGGAGGCTGGGTCTACCTAGCAGCCAGGGTATACCTGGGAGGCTGGGTCTATCTGGCAGCCAGGGTATACCTGGGAGGCTGGGTCTACCTGGCAGCCAGAGTATACCTGGGAAGCTGGGTCTACCTGGGAGCTAGGGTATACCTGGGAGGCTAGGTCTACCTGGCAGCCAGGGTATACCTGGGAGGCTGGGTCTACCTAGCAGCCAGGGTATAGCTGGATCTACCTGGCAGCCAGGGTATACCTGGGAGGCTGGGTCTACCTGGCAGCCAGGGTATACCTGGGAGGCTGGGTCTACCTGGCAGCCAGAGTATACCTGGGAAGCTGGGTCTACCTGGGAGCCAGGGTATACCTGGGAGGCTGGGTCTAACTGGCAGCCAGGGTATACCTGGGAGGCTGGGTCTACCTGGCAGCCAGGCTGATTTTTGAAGGTAAAATAAAGTACCGCTTCTACTAGATCTGAACCTACAGTGAATCACCTGAAGAAGACGAATCAAATAAGCAGATAATAAAGAACAAGAAGATGCAAGGGGGAGGAGAAGGAGCAGAAGAAGAAGAGGGGGAAGAGGGAAAGGAGAAGGAGCAGAAGAAAGAGAAGAGGAAGATGGGGAAGAGGAGGAGGCAAAACGTGGAGAAAGAAACATTTAGTGCCATTTAGAGTATCGTTTAAAGTTTTAATGTTTCAGAAAGCGGTTGACTTTGGGGTTCTAGATTCAGTATGTATTTACTTTATATCCTGATAAAACTAGGTCAGTTTAGCTGTGATGAGACGTGTGATGATCAAACTTTAGTATCTTATTGCGGCTCAGCGCAGCTTCAATGAAATGACTGAGTCCAACCATATAACCTACAACAGTGTACAAACTTAACATTTATCAAGTAACTGCTGTAAAAAAAAAATTAGAAGACGGTTAGCCTTCCAAGACTTACGACCCCTTACACAGTATTAACTAAAGCTAAGAATACAGCGCCTGTGCTGGGTTGTGAACACAGTTTCACAATTCTAACATACAAGGTTCAACGTCAGCTGCAGGCGATCTGATAGCAGACCAGCATGTGCGGCCTTGGAAAAGAGTACAATCTTTAGGCCGCTCGTTAAGTAATAATTAGCAAGCTGCTGAACTGGCTAGTAAATCCAGGCAACAACCAATAAATGGTGAAGTAGGTGTTGTGACCTTCTGTAAAGAACATGACAACTCCTCCCCCTTGCCTATCATTCGGTGCTAATTCCTCTTTTACCGCTTCGATCGTCGAAGATAAATATGTGCTAAGTAACTCACCATCTGTTTATTAGTCACTCCTTTGCAGGGTTGCCGGTGTGTTGGGAAATGAGCAGGCAGCAGACTGGCCACAAGGTGGTGAACTGATGTATGACAAGCCATTGTGAGGGCTGTTTGGGAACTAGTAAAGTATGGAGGCGTGCGTAAATAGATCATTACGATCTGAAGAGAATGGCGCTGCGAGGAGTTACCAGGGGATTTGGCATACGCTTAACACTCGGGGAAGGTTAAAAGGGATATAAAATCAGACGGTTACTGGTTCTATCAGAATTGGAACTCTTTGCTGGCTGCTGAAGATGGGGACGGAGCACTTATGGGAGTGTCCCGAGTTCTGTGATGTCGATTCTTAATTCAAAATTCTTTTGCCTGTGTCATTCTTGTTACGGTATTCCCATGTCTTACTTAAACTTAGTCTGTCCAAATGGTTATTAGTTTTAACTTAGTTTAGTTGAAGCAAATGTTACTACTATAAACTAGTAACTTCTTCGGACAGAACGGGGTAAAGTAACACTGTTCAAAGAATAAACAAACCGTAATCATTACCTGTAAACTGCAGTTGTGAGTGAACACAGCAGGCTCTGTGTGAACATCAAGCCTGTCTATAGATTCTGAAGGCGTCAGTCCAGAGTAGCTGTTGTTTTGTACTCCAGGAGAGTTTGAATTCTTATTAAGGAAAGATGTATTGCTTTTATCTGTGTCCTTACTTAACTGCTCATGTTCAATGTGCTCCGGTGAGGTTTTCTGTGGGGAAAGTTCTCTCGTATGGCTACTGTTACTGTCAGCACCAGTGAATATACTGCCGGTGTCTGTTCTATTGTCGTCTGCACTCTCGGGGTGAACGCCGTCTCCACTACTGTGGGCCACCAAGGTTGACAAGAGTTGATCGCGGTAATACGACGAAGAGCTGGTTGCATTCACGTCATGCTTGTGGTTATCGCGGACAGATGAGACCGGATGAGGAGCCTTGGTGAGCGTAGATTGGCTGGTGTGTGAGGTGATGGTTGCCGCCTGCTGGAGTTGTTGACGCAGCACACCAGTCTCCACTGGCATGTCAGACTGACTGCGGATGTCTGTGAAGTTGAGCAAGATGAAGCGGCTACTCGGAGCCTGGATGATGTACTCACACCGTGAGAAGCCCTGATGTTGATATGTAGATGACTCTACCTCCAACGACTGGCTGGAATCAGTCAGATTGAACTGGCATTTGCCTGCAGACGATTTATAAAAGGCATTCACAAATAATCAAGTGAGACGAATGTTTTTATTAGAAAACATGAATCTTCACATGTATGTTGACCGGCCTGCCTGTACCTGTCCATGACAACCCTAACATGGCTGTTTACCTGTCCATGACAACCATAACATAGCTGTTTACCTATCGCTGACAACCCTAACATAGCTGTTTACCTGTCCATGACAACCATAACATAGCTGTTTACCTGTCCATGACAACCATAACATAGCTGTTTACCTGTCCATGACAACCATAACATAGCTGTTTACCTGTCCATGACAACCATAACATAGCTGTATACCTGTCCCTGACAACCCTAATACAGCTGTATATCTGTCCATGACAACCCTAACATAGCTGTTTACCTGTCGCTGACAACCCTAACATAGCTGTATACCTGTCCCTGACAACCCTAACACAGCTGTATATCTGTCCATGACAACCCTAACATAGCTGTATACCTGTCCCTGACAACACTAACATAGCTATATACCTGTCCCTGACAACACTAACATAGCTGTATACCTGTCCCTGACAACCCTAACATAGCTGTATACCTGTCCCTGACAACCCTAACATAGCTGTTTACCTGTCCCTGACAACCCTAACATACATGTATACCTGTACAGAAAGTCTATGACTTTAACAAGCCGATATGCTTGCAAATAAAGTCACTGTGGAAGGCGGACGAGCCATAGACCAGGCAGATATTCTATGTCTGTCAAAACCACAACTGTGAACTGAGCAACACTTCCATGAAACCGACTCATGACCTTCAGAGACAAATGACCTGACCGTTTCACCAAATAGGTCTCACAAGGGACATTGGTTTGAAGATTTCAGTCAGATAATAACTATGGTCCCAATCCTACACAACAATAACAATTAAACACAACATTAATATAAAATGAGCTCTACACAACAATAACAATTAAACACAACAATAATATAAAATGAGCTCTACACAACAATAACAATTAAACACAACATGATATAAAATGAGCTCTACACAACAATAACAATTAAACAAAACATGATATAAAATGAGCTCTACACAACAATAACAATTAAACACAACATGATATAAAATGAGCTCTACACAACAATAACAATTAAACAAAACATGATATAAAATGAGCTCTACACAACAATAACAATTAAACACAACATAATATAAAATGAGCTCTACACAACAATAACAATTAAACACAACATGATAAAAAGAGCTCTACACAACAATAACAATTAAACACAACATGATATAAAATGAGCTCTACACAACAATAACAATTAAACACAAGGTGATATAAAATGAGCTCTACACAACAATAACAATTAAACACAGCATGATATAAAATGAGCTCTACACAACAATAACAATTAAACACAACATGATATAAAATGAGCTCTACACAACAATAACAATTAAACAGAACATGATATAAAATGAGCTCTACACAACAATAACAATTAAACACAACATGATATAAAATGAGCTCTACACAACAATACCAATTAAACACAACATGATATAAAATGAGCTCTACACAACAATAACAATTAAACACAACATTTATATAAAATGAGCCCTACACAACAATAACAATTAAACACAACACTGATATAAAATGAACTCTACACAACAATAACAATTAAACACAACATTTATATAAAATGAGCCCTACACAACAATAACAATTAAACACAACACTGATATAAAATGAACTCTACACAACAATAACAATGAAACACAACAGTGATCAAAAGTGAAGCACATCAGCAATGACTAAGCCACAGACACAATCTAATGGCGTTCAAACCAAAAGCAAGCCATACACAGCGTGGCAACAGCAAGTGACAGCTCGGGGTCGTATGTTTCCTGTGGACACTAGCAGCCCTAGTGAAAAACCAGACTGCCCTGTCTCATTTACTCAAGAAACCATGGCACTGTATGTTGTCGAACCTTCAACAAATAACAGCTACTCTAAACTACTCACTCCTACATACATGCATTCTTCATTACAAAACTGGACCCACTATCTAAATGCATTACATTTTCTTTTTAAAAAACGAAGTTAATTTGTTTATTCAGACTACTTCCTACAGACAGTCAAGCCTCCTCCCACACAGCTTGACAAGACCGGTCGTTTTATATGACTGTGAAACTTGGAGTACAATTAAAGGAGATACAGCCTTATTACAGGTTTTTGAAAACAGAGTCTTACGAAGAATTTTTGGACCCATCAAACATGCAAACAGCGTGAGAAGCAACAATGAAATTCATGATATGTTTAAATCACCACTGATAACTGGCATTATGAGAGCTAATAGACTGAAAAGGAGGAGGAGGAGGAGGAAGAAGAAGGAGAAACAGGAGAAGGAGGAGGAGAAGAAGAAGAAGAAGAAGAAGCAGGAGAAGGAGAAGAAGGAGGAGGAGAAGAAGAAAAAGAAGAAGAAGAAGAAGAAGAAGAAGAAGAAGAAGAAGAAGAAGAAGAAGAAGAAGAAGAAGAAGAAGAAGAAGAAGAAGAAGAAGAAGAAGAAGAAGAAGAAGAAGAAGAAGAAGAAGAAGGAGAGCAGAAGAAGAAGAAGAAGAAGAAGAAGAAGAAGAAGAAGAAGAAGAAGAAGAAGAAGAAGAAGAAGAAGAAGAAGAAGAAGAAGAAGAAGAAGAAGAAGAAGAAGAAGAAGAAGAAGAAGAAGAAGAAGAAGAAGAAGAAGAAGAAGAAGAAGAAGAAGAAGAAGAAGAAGAAGAAGAAGAAGAAGAAGAAGAAGAAGAAGAAGAAGAAGAAGAAAGAAGAAGAAGAAGAAGAAGAAGAAGAAGAAGAAGAAGAAGAAGAAGAAGAAGAAGAAGAAGAAGAGAAGAAGAAGAAGAAGAAGAAGAAGAAGAAGAAGAAGAAGAAGAAGAAGAAGAAGAAGAAGAAGAAGAAGAAGAAGAAGAAGAAGAAGAAGAAGAAGAAGAAGAAGAAGAAGAAGAAGAAGAAGAAAGAAGAAGAAGAAGAAGAAGAAGAAGAAGAAGAAGAAGAAGAAGAAGAAGAAGAAGAAGAAGAAGAAGAAGAAGAAGAAGAAGAAGAAGAAGAAGAAGAAGAAGAAGAAGAAGAAGAAGAAGAAGAAGAAGAAGAAGAAGAAGAAGAAGAAGAAGAAGAAGAAGAAGAAGAAGAAGAAGAAGAAGAAGAAGAAGAAGAAGAAGAAGAAGAAGAAGAAGAAGAAGAAGAAGAGAAGAAGAAGAAGAAGAAGAAGAAGAAGAAGAAGAAGAAGAAGAAGAAGAAGAAGAAGAAGAAGAAGAAGAGGAAGAGGAAGAAGAAGAAGAAGAAGAAGAAGAAGAAGAAGAAGAAGAAGAAGAGGAAGAGGAAGAAGAAGAAGAAGAAGAAGAAGAAGAAGAAGAAGAAGAAGTGCCAGCCAGCTATGGGATTTTCTGCTCGTTTCTTCTCAAGACGTGTACAATATAGCGCCATCGTCTTGTCTTGATAACTGTTGTTACCAGCAGTTGCCCAGACATTTCTCTGATTTCTTTATCCTTCTTGAATTCGTCCTATTTTATGTCCATCATTTTCTTCTGGCTTTTGTTTTCTGTGAATGCATTTAACCTTTTCCCCTGTATTTTATTTTTCTCCACTTGTCACTGGATTATGTTCAAACTGAAAATACACAATTTTGTTTTAAAATTTTACAATTCAAGAGTTTTAAATTTTATCCAGGCTTTTAAAACCTGCGGATGCCTTGCCAATGAGTGTCATAATTTGATTCTTTGTATTTCTTTGACTATCAAACTTGCTACCTAAATAAGTAAATTGATCTGTTACTTTATTTCCTATTGTCACTAGTGCTACCTCTGCTCTCAATAAATTTGTCTCTTTATAAGACACGTGCTAAAGCCTGTTTTCCTGTGCGTGAGCAGAACAACAGTATCAGCAAAATCGAGATCTTCCATAATATAAATCCACAAAGTAAATGCCGGTGTTTACATCACAACATCCCCCCCCCCCCCCCCACACACAGTCAGTGTTTATGCCAAATAAGAGAGAGAATGAATTCATCCTGCTTCTCTCCAGTTTCAAACTGCAATACAGTCACTTAAACCATCAACTGTTCACACTGTCCACTCTGAACCTACATATAATGCTTAATATAATTTTTTATTTTCACTGGTATATACACTGCTCTAAAATAAGTCTCAGGTACTCTTATTCTTTTAAACAAATCTTTCTCTCGGTTGATGGTTACATCGTCTACTGCCTTGAGCATTTATGCAGTAATATCATCATCACCCGCCGCTGCCTTACTGCCTGCTCAATGAACTGACTGCCTCCATGATTTCCATATAATTTATCTGACGTATTTCTACCGATAACACGGACATTAGACGATAGTTCACAGCAGCGACGTACCTAACACCTGAACGATAGCTGCATTGACAGTCATCAACACTAGCTGGCTGGCGGGTGGGGATAAAGAAAAGTAGTCACCTTTATGCACTGTTCTAGTTGAACAGGGCTGGGCAATCATAATGACACTAACAATTAAACAAACAGTACACAATTTATTGCCTGGTATAACCGCTGTAACTCGTCGCCTGACGCCGCATCTAGTCGCCTGACGCTGCATCTAGTCGCCTGACGCCGCATCTAGTCGCCTGACGCTGCATCTAGTCGCCTGACGCCGCATCTAGTCGCCTGACGCCGCATCTAGTCGCCTGACGCTGCATCTAGTCATTTGACGCTGCATCTAGTCACTTCACGCTGAACTAGACATTTGACGCTGCATCTAGTCATTTGACGCTGTATCTAGTCACTTGACGTCACATCTAGTCACTTGACGCTGCATCTAGTCACTTGACGCTGCATCTAGTCACTTGACGCTGCATCTAGTCACTTGACGCTGCATCTAGTCACCTGACGCCACATCTAGTCACTTGACGCCACATCTAGCCACTTGACGCCACATCTAGTCACTTGACGCCACATCCAGCCACTTGACGCCACATCTAGTCACTTGACGCCACATCTAGTAGCCTGACGCCACATCTAGTCGCCTGACGTCGTATCTAGTCACATACAGCGCAATATGCCAGGCAATAAAATGTGCAATACATTGTTTGTTCCCTCGTTATTTAAATTCATAAGGAAAAACACGTTTTAAAACTGACGGAACAAACATATCTAGGTTCTAATTAGATCTGGAGAATCATATCCCTTATCTTCACTGGGTCAGAATACTCTAAAAGTTCAGACTTCCAGATAAAAGAATAAAGACAAGATATAGCCAGCAAACGGCCAGGCAACATAGAAGTGGCGGAAATAAAGAAGACGAGAGGCTAAGCAATTACAGATAAACTGGTGATAAACAGATAATGTACACAAAACTCTTTTAAACTTGTGACAACGAAACCAGGTAGATAACATGAAAATCTTGAATGAGAAGAAGCATGTACAGCTAAAAGTTTCAAGAAACGTAATCTGCTTTCATGAATGAACAGCACGTCTATGCAACGCACTTCATTCAACCCATGTTAGGTCTCTTGTTTTAACTTCAGATCTTTTCATGTGTAGCGCCCAAGTTGGTAGTTGTTCAAGCTGTATTCTTACTTAATGACCAAACCATCTTATCTTGTTTCTCAATGAATGTGCTGCATTGTGTCGGTTAATTACTGAGGGAGACAAAATCCGTCTCAATGCACATTTGAACTCAAGGACTATTCTACATTTAACTTCTTTAACAGTAATTCATCTCCCTTCAACCGTTACTAAAGCACATACATTTTTGAACAGTTTGAGAGTGATTCCAATTACTCTGATACTGCAACTGGGAAAGCAGTTTGCTACAATACTATTTTCCACACAAAAATTAACAACCAAGATTTCTTTTTGTTTTTTTCTGACTGTCATGCAAATTACTATATGCGTGTATATGATGTATTTTAATTGCATTTCATGTTCTGTAGGGAAAAGTTCCTTCAACTGATCGTAGGTTGTTCACATTATGGTCACCATCGTAGATATAATCAGCAAAACCCAAATCTGGAAACTGCACAGAAAAACCTACTTTCGTTCCCTGAAACGAAGTACTGTAAACAACAGTACATTTGTCACTTTGACAAGCATTATTTTCAGAGTGCATTTTCAGCCTAAGCTTGTACATGTTCTTACCATGGCAGTGTCTCACTCGCAGAAACAAATGGAACACAACACAAACTAAACCAGCAAGTTCAATAAAGGATAAGAAAATGTGCACACATAAAACTAAATGTTTTACAAGTACTAATCAATCAAATCTCAAATCAGGAAGCACAAGTTCAATAAAGGAAAAGAAGATGTGCACACATAAAACTAAATGTTTTACAAGTACTAATCAATCAAATCTCAAATCAGGAAGCACAAGTTCAATAAAGGAAAAGAAGATGTGCACACATAAAACTAAATGTTTTACAAGTACTAATCAATCAAATCTCAAATCAGGAAGCACAAGTTCAATAAGGAAAAGAAGATGTGCACACATAAAACTAAATGTTTTACAAGTACTAATCAATCAAATCTCAAATCAGGAAGCACAAGTTCAATAAAGGAAAAGAAGATGTGCACACATAAAACTAAATGTTTTACAAGTACTAATCAATCAAATCTCAAATCAGAAAGCACAAGTTCAATAAAGGAAAAGAAGATGTGCACACATAAAACTAAATGTTTTACAAGTACTAATCAATCAAATCTCAAATCAGGAAGCACAAGTTCAAAAAAGAAAAAGAAGATGTGCACACATAAAACTAAATGTTTTACAAGTACTAATCAATCAAATCTCAAATCAGGAAGCACAAGTTCAATAAAGGAAAAGAAGATGTGCACACATAAAACTAAATGTTTTACAAGTACTAATCAATCAAATCTCAAATCAGGAAGCACAAGTTCAATAAAGGAAAAGAAGATGTGCACACATAAAACTAAATGTTTTACAAGTTACTAATCAATCAAATCTCAAATCAGGAAGCACAAGTTCAATAAAGGAAAAGAAGATGTGCACACATAAAACTAAATGTTTTACAAGTACTAATCAATCAAATCTCAAATCAGGAAGCACAAGTTCAATAAAGGAAAAGAAGATGTGCACACATAAAACTAAATGTTTTACAAGTACTAATCAATTAAATCTCAAATCAGGAAGCACAAGTTCAATAAAGGAAAAGAAGATGTGCACACATCAAACTAAATGTTTTACAAGTACTAATCAATCAAATCTCAAATCAGGAAGCACAAGTTCAATAAAGGAAAAGAAGATGTGCACACATAAAACTAAATGTTTTACAATTACTAATCAATCAAATCTCAAATCAGGAAGCACAAGTTCAATAAAGGAAAAGAAGATGTGCACACATAAAACTAAATGTTTTACAAGTACTAATCAATCAAATCTCAAATCAGGAAGCACAAGTTCAATAAAGGAAAAGAAGATGTGCACATATAAAACTAAATGTTTTACAAGTACTAATCAATCAAATCTCAAACCAACAATAAACACATGCTGAGAGTCCAAGTAACCATTCTGTTCTACAATCTATCTCCCTGTGGAGTACAGGCTCTCAACCAACTCCTATCCTTTGTTACAGCTCAATCTATGTCCTCCCTGTCTAATCATTCTCTTCTCCACGTTTCCTTTGGTCGGATTTGTTTTATATGCCCTGGTGGGTTCCAAAGCAAAGACATTCTAGTTACATTGTTCTCAGGTTTTCTCAAAGTGTGTCCTACCCAATGGCAGAATTTGTGTTTCACCTCTTGATGCACTGTTCATTTTCTCCTGAAACTCAAAATCAGTGATTCTATGATACTATTGAATTCCTTCTATTATGTGTAAGCACCAGTTAATTAACACTTATAGTTTATTGGTGACTGTTTGAGTTGTTCTCCATGTTTTTGCTCCACACAGCAGTACTGATTTGACATTAGAATTAAATTCGTATAAGTCAAAGGAAATAAAACTAACGTAGTTTAGTATTAGTTTTAATTTTCTTTGACTTACACAGATTTCCTAGTGCTATGAAAACTCCTCTTGCAAGTAACCTCTACTTTTGTGGAAATGTACTTATTGATATTAGATTCACTGTAGTCACCCCTACTGTAATCTTCAAATTAGTCTCACTCACGTTACCTTGCTAGTATCTATCACCATAGGTCACCTGCTTTATACTAAAACTCCAAGAAACATCTGCTGTTAGTACTCTGCATGAAGCATAACTCCAGTATCCTAGGTTTAACTGTTATGGCTCTTCACTGACAGAAAGTGCCCAAAAGAAGTTGAGGATACCACTGTTATGACTGTCCTTTGACGGTGGTGCTTAGAGTCATAACATCTTATTTATATGACTGTCTTATTGTGAACAAGATTACCCTTCACCTTTTATTCTTTTAAGTGTTGTTTTAAACTGGTAATGTTCATTTGTTCCTGCACTATTTAACCTTTCAACCTTGACGGACACAAACAGAGATGCAAGCATGTGATCAAGCCAAGACAACATCAGATACATCAGTGTTCTTCAAATTTTTGTTTTAAAGCAGCTTGTCAAAGTAGGGACAAAAATTGTCTGCAGACCATTTGACACCCCCCACCCCTTCCTCCCAAAATATCAAAAGCAGCTTATTTGTTAAAGCAGCTACCACACAATTACAAGTGTCAGCTCATCTGATATCAGCTGTTGATCAGAAGTTTAAAAGTCTTTGGAGAAATGAAGATCCAAAATCACGAAACCACTACACAGCAAGACAGAAATAGTTGGCAGGCCATCAGGACACTGATGGTCCACAGGCAACCTGCTGAATAATACCGATATACTGCACACATACAGAGAATACAAGTGCTTCTATACCATTAACTACTCATATCACTTCAAATTTTATGTTTGCCACTGTCCTTTTATCTGATAAATTTCCTTATTTTCTTCATTTCATAAATATAATTTTTTTTTTTAAACCAAAAACTTTAAACCTGGAGGAACTTCTAAGTCATCCATCAATAGGTTCTGATGTTATGTCATCTGTAACTTTTTACCAATAACACATGGATATTTTTACACAAATTCAGTGCACTATTATCAAATGTGTGAGACTATATATATTATATATATATACATAAACTACTTGACTGTCTGTTCAAATGTTACCTATGCAGTCCGGCAGGCAGAAAGATGAATGTTCAAGCCCACCAGGACCGCACAACAAGTGATAAACACCAGGTGACAAAACGTGCCATCATTCGCATGAGAATCTCTCACCCCCCCCCCCCCCCCCCCCTCACCCCCCCAAAGCAAGTCCCATAAATCCCATTCAATCTTTAGGTTATATCAGGGCCCCTGACAACAGCTGGAGTGGGGCTTGAAAATAACCCCCCCCCCCCCCCTTCCCCTTAAAAATTGTGTCCCATAATGGGACGGCCACAGATAAAGGCAGAAAGGATATTCCTTGATTTATAAAGGTTGCAGTGATTACAGATTTGAGGCTAGTGCTAAGGTTAGTATATTGTCATAGGTCCTACAGTGTTCACACAAACAAGAATACATATTTACCTTTAGTGTTATCAAAAGTGGAGTTCTTGTTCCTAGATTCTGTGTGAGCAGACAAAGTGGGTGCTGTCCTGGTGACAGTTCCTGTGGTGATGGAGGCTAGAGAAAGCAGCAAACAGATGCAGCAGTTACGAGCCAGTAGCCGAGCAGGGGAGATGCTCATCCTCTGTCACTCGGGTCATGAGTCCTGAATTGGTGACGCCTTCGCGTCCCACAAACCATGTACCACAGTATTGTTAACTATATGTTGCCACACATGAACAGTTTAATCATGCAGAAGTAATTCACCAAAGTCAGTCTGTCAGAGTTAAGTCTTTAGTGTCCTTAACCACATCCAAAAACAAAATGCAGAAACATAGTGACAAGTGGAAAATAATGACTTTCACACTGCACTGCCTGCAGCCTGTGTGGACACGGAAATAATAATCACTTGACACCAGGCTGATAATTCTTGTTTACATCATAAATATTCCTGCTCTATTTTCCCAGTGAACAGTCCAGTCCAGCAGTTGTGTAGCTTACGGCAGTCGGTGTAATTAACATCTCTTGATGCCAAAACCATGCCTCTGTGAATGTTCACTGAAGCACTTGCTATGTTTATATTAGTCAACAATCTACAGTTTCCAGATAAAACAGCTGGCCGAATGAGTTCCTTCACCACAGGAAAACAAATCTCTAGTCTCAGATGAAGTATTCTTTCAGCTGAATTTTACAGCACCAAGTGTTTGTCTGAGCCTCTGGACTGTTTCACTACAGAAGTATCTTCTCTTGCAGCTTATGGAAATCAAAATGCAAATAACAAAAATTTCTAGGAACAGGGTCAAAATTCTAATTCCTCGTTTGATGAATCAATGCCAAGGAAATGATTGTATTCTTTAAAATCACATGCAGCACAGGCACTATTCACAGAAACAAAACTGTATTTTCCAGAATCTGCCTTATGTGTCCAAGGAAAGCCAACATATGAAGCTGTTGTCATTTCGTCTTCTGTACATGTTTTTTTATCACAAATATACACCATCTGTACCTGAAACAGCAAGATGTAGACTATCAGAGGAACATCATTAATAATCATTTAGGTAAAACACACATACATCTCATTCACAATATTACAGAGACATCAGTGACTGGCCCAACGGTTTCCTTGTGCTGTAGAAAAAAGGGGTGGGAATAAGGTGTAAGGGGTGGTGGTATATAAAATCCTAATCCGCAAAGTCTGTAGAGACTGCTTTAGTCATGACGCCCTAATAATCGACAGAAATAATTGTGTTGATAAAACACAGACAAATCTAATTCACAATATATTACAGGAACACTGCCATTTTACAAACAATACTGACCTGTATACCGTACTATCCCTCTCAAATCTAACTATCAATAAAACTACAAGTACCATTCTGTCACCCTCTTCTCCTTCTTCAGCATTCCAAGCCATTGAGGTTCATTGCTGCAGATATTATGCGCCTCCATTCATCTCTCTAGTTTGCCTTCTCTTTCCAGGTTTTGACACCAAGTGTTTCCAGGTCTGTCTGGATATTATCTCTCCATCGTCTTCTTGGTCTGCCTCATGGTCTACGACCATTCAGCTCCCTTTACCTTTTTGTCATCTAACATTCTTTTGGACTGGAATTTTAGTTCCTCTTCTGCTTTGTTCACCGGCTGTAAGCTTCGGCGAAAACTCCTGGTTGTTTGTCCACTTAGACTTTGGTTTTGTGCCAGGGCCTGAATTTTACGTGTACATCCATTTTCCTGCTCGCTCTTATACTTTCTTTATTTCGTTGGTTCGTTATGCAGACAACAACAAAATGGTACCGACCCGCGGTACTTAGCACAGGAGTCAGACATTACCACATGTAAACTGCGACATCTGCAAACTGCATCAAGTCAAAGTGTAGACAACTCCAATAGAAGTGACTCAGGATTTCATCCCAGGGACTGCAGAAAACAATCTTGCACTGACAGGAATGAAGAAACAGCTACAAAACAGCAAAACAGCTACAAAACAGCAAAACAGCTACAAAAAACTGCGAAGGGAGAAGTAGGCAACAACAAATTTCTTGGTGAACTGATTTCAAAAATACACGTGGTAAAAAAAAGTATATCTTATGTCCACGAACTGTGAGCTACACAAGTACAGTTTGGATGTGTGTCCGCTAACTGAACTAACTAAATTAATTAACTACTATTTCAAAGCTAAATATTAAAATTAGTTGATCCGAGTATTATTTACAGGACGTCACAAAACTATACCAGCACCGCCTGGCTTTGTTCAACTAAGCCGCTGAATATTCATAATTTTGCCATTGCTCTCAAAGGTCGGCACTCATGTCATTGTCAAAATTAACATACAAGCTGTCTGCTGCCAAATCGTCTGCAGCATAATTACAACTGGGATGTTGGGGTCAGGAAACGGCATTCTAATTCCAATTATCGGTTGCCTTGCTTAATTAACTAGTATCTAACTAACTTAACTGAGGTGCAGAAGGCAGAAAACAATTAAGATGGGGGCGAAGGAGGTGAAAAGGGAAGAAAAAAAAGAAGACAAAGAAGAGGCAGGCAGAGGAGAAGGCGACGAAGAAAAAGAAGAAGACATGACTGGTAATTATGTCACACTTATTGTAATGACATCAGCTTTTCATTTACAACTGCGTAAATACCAGTTTTGATACAACTGCGTGTATACCAGTTTGTGTTAACTGAGATCTGTAGTACTCTAAAACAATAATATCCTGTTTAACCTATCCGGGTTACAACTGGGAGATATGGAGATTTTCTAATTCAGTTATAGACGTGTATTTTATCAATTCTTTTCCGCTATTTAATACTGCACAGTGAATAAGTAAAGGTCTCAATAATACGCCGATGGCGCATCGGGCATAGCAAGCTAGACTCAATCGGTCATCGATGGACGATTTGTTCAACATCAAACACAGGCTGCCTTTACTTTCTAGGACTTTACCTGGCACATATTTAAGGCTGGGTCGACCTGGGGGCCAAAGCTATGTTTGAAAGATGAAAAAAATTCGGCACCAAGCGGATTTGAACCCACGACCTTCGAAGCCGGAGGCGAGCGTCCAGCCCCTACACTACAGCGTATTAATTGCAGCAGACTGCAGGAGTATAGATTTACATTCAATATATTTTAGGTGTACTTTTCAAACGCTTAATAATTCAGTGGGGATATTTAAAGTGAACTGGCTTCACCATAATTGTATCTATAGATATATCAACAGCTAGCAGGCTAACCTTCCAAGCAGTTCCCTACAGCCATCTATTCCCGGCTGTAGGGATGGGGGAAGGACTGCGGATTGAACGATCTACTGCTGTACATGAGGAGATACAGAAATAGCCTGTACCAAACACGGGGAACTCAAACACTGAGCTCCACGTCGAATTACATGAACCAGTTTCAAGCCGCAAACAGGAAGACGGTGCTAAATACGCCGGGAGAATGTAGCCTAGCAGGTAACAACACTTTCCTGTAAGTCTGCAGCTGAAAGGGGAATAGCCACGGACGCTGTTACCAGAGACCTGGTTAGTAATGGCTTTAACTGCAAGGTCGCGCTGACCGGCACACTGCTAGGTCTTCGGGCCTAGATTGCAACAAACCTACGGTAAGCCCGCGCATGTTTGTGCTGGCAATATTCCCTGCACGTTCTCTACTGAAAGCTGCATGCAAGCGAAGTACGCCGGCTGCGTCACTCAGCAACTGAATGAAGGGCACGTCCCATCACTATTATGTGAATGTTTTGATAATGATAAGGCTAAAACAGAATTCCAGGATTTGCAAATGTTGCTTCTAAAATAAAAGTACTTCAATAGTGCTGTACTTTTTCCTTTACATTTCTTCTCAAATCGCAATTAGTCACGGGCCTATTATTCGTTCAAGTTCATTGTCTTTCCTACGTGAGTGGCAAATGGGAGATATGGCTCTAGACCCATATTCTTAGAGATCAAACGACACAGCGTAAATTTATGGTTGTTTTGTCTACTTAAGGACTTTGATCTTGTTATGGAACTTCAGTTTTGCGCACACGTCCATTTCGCAGGTTATGTATATGCAGATTGCTGGTTCCTCGCTCCTCAAGACATATGCACTCCATCTTCGAAATATGATACAGGGAGTCACGCTACAAAAATAGAATGAACACAGAGCAAGGGGACAACACGCAAGATATGGAGCGACAACATCAGAAGCAGCCTAGATTAAATGAACACCAACTTGTACAATGAATTAGAAAAAGAGCACAGACGTTCCTTACACCCCTTCCCCCCCCCCCCCCCTCTCGATGAGGTAAATGTTGGAAGAGAAGAAGACGATACATATATATATATATATATATATATATATATATATATATATATATATATATATGTAGTGTGTGTATATTAGTCTTGGTAATAAATGAACTGACCTTGCCACGCAGCTCTATGTGGCTCTTTATGTGCAGCAAGGTTTAGATTATCATAGGTAATTTAGAGAGATTAATGGAGTCAGTTAATGATTAGTGCACTACAGCAATGGTTCTCAAACTGGGTGCCGCGAGTGTATACCAGGGGTGCCGCGGAAATAATGAAAAATTCTCCAAATAGCTACTTTCATTGCATCAAATTTGCACTGAATCCCCCCCCCCCCCACCCCCAAATTCTTTTTCTCAGTATTCGAAGATTTGATGTTAGGTGTGCCGTGAATTTGTTTTTAGCCTGACAAGTGTGCCGCCGCGAAGAAAGTTTGATAACCGCTGCTCTACAGTACTGTACTATCTGTCACCTTGATTAATTACCTATTATTTAACTATAGTGCTCTATAGTTCTGCATTTGTGGCATACATTACAGGTTTCGTTCTGTATAGTAAAGCAAGACTATCAGAGCTGTAGTCTAATCAGTTTACGACTGCATGGTATTTTAAGTTTATCTGTTTTTTGTCTTTTAGGAGCATGGAACAACTTATATGAATGTCTATCCTTGAGGCTGTGGTCCCAATTGTGACGAGCTGGTCTGGACAGCTGTTTCTGCCCTTTTAAGTGTTGCTGTGTACTAGTAATATTATTATTATCAAATTTGTAAACATTTCTTTATTGCTTTCTGTTAGCCTTAATAATACTTAACTAATTAAGAAGTTAAAAGGCGAATGAGATGATGACTAGTGCAAGGAGTAACTC